AACTGTCTGTTTAACTCTCTTTTTCCTTTTCCTAGCTTCTTGACCTTAACAAAACTACTTTCTCTTGTTGCAGGTCCGTGGAAATCTGCAGTTAGCTGAATTGACAGCTGTGCTTTTGGAATGTTATTCCATTAAGGTACTTCCATGGTACGTAGGCGATCTTAATTTATCTTGTTTATTAGATTTCCATTCTATTCCATCTCTGTTCTGGATATTTCTCCCTACTGCATTCTCTATTGTGATGCATCCTCATATGGATGACCAGTAGTCTCTGTTGATTTTTCTTATGTGTGATATTTGATGCAACTCAGTTTTTTGCTGGTTCACTAACTTCTGCTTTGAAAAAGGAAGTCACAGTGTCATTTCCTGCTTATGGTGAAGTAAAAAATGTAATTTTGCTTGCTTTTTTCACTTATGCTCCCACAAACGAGAATATTAAGAATGAACTAAGAAATAAAAGAGGAAAGGATGTCACGTCCCGGACTACCCCTAGACGTGATTGGCACCCAGCTAACACCACCTGCCAGGCGAACCCATTTCTCATACGTTTAACCATTTACACAAACACCGAGGGAAAAATAAATACCGGTCTAAAAGTATTTTTAGTAATTAAAGACAAAATAGTTGTAAACTAATACCTTAGTCAATTGATAGAAATACCAACAATCACTCAAATGATAAAACTCTAGCCCAAATCCCACACTAAGGCCTTGAAACATCTAACAAAGTAACATGAGTTTAACTGACGGGTATGCAAACCCCAAAGAGAAGGAAATAACTAACATAAACTAGATAAAGCTGAAACGAAAGTCTCCACGAACAATGCGACGGCTCACCTCAGCAATAGGATCCACTCGAACAAACTCGTCAGTCACTAGCTCTATCTCCCGTAACGGTATCTGCATAGAGATGCAAGTAAGGAGTGAGTTATACGTATATATAACCCAGTAAGATCCTCGACCTGCCACTTTAAATACCTCTGGAACAAGTGTTAGAAAATACAACACACTACAACAAGAACAATATACTAAACACGATAATTATACCATAACACAATGTATAGGTATTAACAGAGTTAACAACAATTAACTAACAAGAATACACATATCTCAACCTACTACACACTATGGACTTGTCATAACTGCAGTGAAAGAAATTAACCAACACCTCTATAAGACCACAACGGCACCACAATGCCTCAATTATGTAACAGAGCATACACAATGCTCACTGAAGCATATACAATGCCCCAAATATATCAAGAAGCATACACAATGCCCTAATATCATGGCTCTGAACCGTACCAAACTCAACACCATGGCTCACAGCCATATCAAAGTATCAAACTCAACATCATGGCTCACAACCGTATCAAAGTATCAAACTCAACACCATGGCTCACAGCCGTATCACGCCTATGTGGCATGATGACATGGCGAGTCATCACACTCTCCCCCACCTAATGTTGCGACGACCGCGGCGCAATGTTGTTGCATAAACTTTCGGATCTTATCTTTGAATTGCCATAAATCTTCATATCGTTCCCATGTGGCCTCCTCCGGTGATTGCCCCTTCCAATGGACGAGGAACATAGCAGTGGCTTTTTGCCCTTGTTTTCGCCTGGTAATCCATGATAGCCTCAATCTCCCTATCATGCGATGAGGTGATAGTCATAGGCGCTCGACTTGATTGGCCCCTACTCGGATCATCTTTATCTTCATGATATGGCTTAAGCAAGCTGGTATGGAAGACTGGGTAGATCTTAAGATACGATGGCATGTCAAGCTTGTATGAGATCTTGCCTACCTTGGCGACTATCTTAAATGGCCCCTCATACTTGCGAATCAGATTCTGATGCATGCCCCATAGTGCCTTAAACTATCTTGGGTTAAACTTCGCCATGACCATGTCCCCAATTTTATAGTCCGTGGGACGCCGCTTACGATCTGCAAACTTCTTCATCTTCTTAGCTGCCTTATCCAAGTAGGACTTAGCAGTGTCAAGTTGCTCCTCCCATCCTTTGGCCATATGATAAGCCCCCAAACTCTTTTCCTCGAATGCGGCTGGTAATGAATGTGGAGTTTGTGGCTGTTGGCCTGTGGCTAGCTCAAATGGTGTCCGCCCCGTGGACTCACTCCGCTGCAAGTTATAAGAGAATTGGACGATGTCTAGGAGCCTTGCCCAATCTTTCTGATACGCGCTTACATAATGCCTCAAGTAGCATTCTAGTAAGGCATTGACCCGTTCCGTTTGTCCATCTGTATGTGGGTGGAAACTAGTGGAAAAGTGCAGTTCCGTGCCAAGTATGTCGAATAATTCTCTCCAAAAATTTTCAGTAAAACGGGGGTCTCGATCACTGATAATATGCCTTGGTAAGCCCCAATACTTCACCACATTCTTAAAGAATAGCTTGGTGGATTCCTTAGCAATGCAACCTGGTGAGGCGGGCATGAAGGTAGCATATTTGGAAAATCTATCCACGACCACCATAATAGTACCATAACCATCGGACTTCGGTAGGCAAGTGATAAAGTCCATAGTCACGCTCTCCCATGGACGCTCTGCAACTGGTAGTGGCTCCAAAAGTCCTCCGGGTTTTTGTTGCTCAACCTTGTCCTGTTGACAGACAAGACAAGTCTGCACATAACACTCTATGTCATCTCGCATGCGTGGCCAATAGTAGACTGACTCAACCAAGGCCCTAGTGCGACGTTGGCCTGGATGACCAGCCCACATTGTGTCATGACTCTCCCTTATAATCCGCCGTCTAATGTCTCCAAACTTAGGCACGTAGACCCGCCGACCTGTGGTAAGTAGTANTGGTAAGCAGTAGACTATCTTCGACCCAAAAACGTCTCGTATTGCCCTGGTTGGCTAACTCGATAAGTTGTTTGGCTGTTGGATCATGCTGCACGCCTTCTTTTATAACCTCACGAATGTCCCATCTTGTTGAAGTGATTGCAGCAAGCTCGGCCTTCCGGCTCAAGGCATCGGCTACAACGTTCCCTTTGCCCGGCTTATACTTCATCGCAAAATCAAATTCGGCCAAGAAATCATGCCACCTAGCATGTTTGGTGTGAGCTTCTTTTGCGTCTGAAAGTAGCTAGTAGCTACATTGTCGGTCTTGACCACGAACCTCGACCCGAGCAAATAATGTCGCCATGTACGAAGGCAATGCACAATGGCGGTCATCTCCTTCTCTTGCACCGTGTAACGCCGCTCCGTCTCATTTAACTTGCGGCTCTCAAATGCTATGGGATGCTTATCCTGCATCAAGACACCTCCAATGGCAAAATCCGAGGCATCGGTATGCACCTCAAATGTCTTGGTAAAGTAAGGTAATGCCAAGACTGGCTCATCTGTTACAGCTGCCTTGAGGTCTTCAAACGCCCTTTGACAATGCTCCGTCCAAACCCATGGCTTGTTCTTCTTTAGCAACTCGGTCAATAGTACAGCCTTTGCTGAGTAGCCACTGATGAACCGACGATAGTAGTTAACAAGGCCAAGGAAGGATCTCAACTCAGTTACCTTTATAGGTGCCTCCCACTCCGTGATAGCACGTACCTTAGCCTCATCCATGCGTAGCTCGCCATTGCTAATAACATGGCCTAAGAAGTGCGCCTTTGATTGTGCAAACTCGCATTTCTCCCTCTTGATGTATAGCTCGTTCTCCCGTAAGACTTGGAAAACCTTCCTTAAGTGCTCCATATGCTCCTCCAAGGTGTTGCTGTAAATGACTATGTCGTCTAGGTAGACTACCACGAATTGTTCAAGGTAGGGATGAAAAATCTTGTTCATGAGGGTGCAAAATGTGGCTGGTGCATTGGTTAAGCCGAGTGGCATCACCAACCACTCAAAGGCTCCATATCTCGTCACACATGTTGTCTTCGGCTCATCCTCTTATGCAATGCGAACCTGGTAGTAGCCCTTGCGAAGATCCACCTTAGTAAAGTACTTGGCTTGCCCAAGTCTATCGAACAAGTCAGCAATGAGCGGGATCGGGTACTTATTCTTTACTGTGACCTTATTAAGTGCTCTGTAGTCTATGTACAAGCGCAGTGATCCATCCTTCTTCTTCTGGAACAATACCGGTGCGCAAAAGGTGCCTTTGATGGGCGAATGTGAACATCATCTAGCAGCTCTACAATTGTTTCCTGAGCTCCTCTAGCTCAGGCGGTGCCATACGATATGGGGTAAATGCGGGTGGCTTAGCCCCTGGCTCCAACTCAATCTTGTGATCCACCTCTCGCCTAGGCGGCAAGTGCTTAGGCAACTCCTCGGGTATGACATCTTTGTTTTCCTTAAGCAACTTCTATATGCAAGGTGGTAGTATCTCTTGAAAACTCTGTCTTCCTCCAGACTTGCGATGGTTGCCACGAACGTCGGCTCCCCCTTCTTGATCCCCTTGA